ACTCATACACATTCACCTAACCTAACCTAACCTAATCCCACGTCATCCGTAATTCATCATCAGCCCCAACCCCAACAATACACCGCTATCGGACTGATCATCTCTCATCTCCTGTTTCTTTTTTTCCCTCCCCGTCTAGAAACCTTCTACCCCGTTTCAGATTCCACTTTTGCGACCGGCTTTTATTTTTCCATATCCTTATATACCTGGCAACCTCAGTTTTGTTGCGTCCTCCTCATCTACTCATACTTCCTAAAAATTCTCCTTCGAGCCCCCTCCGTTTGTTCGTCACGCGGGGAAGATCTGCCGCGATCGATAAAGTACCATCTTATCTCTCCTTCCCCCTCACGTACTCCGTACTGTACGGAGTATCCGCCTCCCCCTTCGACTCAACTACACTCACTGCACTGCCAACTCATGGCTTTTCGTTTGCCTCCCCAAGTTCCTCGCCGTCGTCCCTCGTATTCGCATTCCATACCGTCTCCAGCTCTTGATATCCCTTCTCCTCTTTCGCAGCTACAGGAGCACGAATCGACAGAATGGGTGCTCTTCTCTCCAACTCAACAACCCTCCACTATCGCCCGCACCCATACTACGTCCACTGATCGCACGCCACGAACATATGCCCGCTTGAGTGATTTCGGCTCTTTTGGCACGGCAACGCGATCGGCCGTGGGTCCGGAAAGTGAGGAGGAAGAAGACGCCCTCGATGAGCCCCTGGACGATGACGGCACCGAGCTAGATAGTCTAGATGATGGGCTCCATGCCTTTCGGGCGCCATCATTAGTACACGACGACCCCGGGGCACCTGTCACACTGCCCGCTCATGACGGACTAGGTAGCTTCCAAGCCTCCAGCGAGACAGTACAACATCAACTGTGGCAACACGAGCAATTTAACCCTCATCGAAGACCCGACTTGCAGCCACGGCGGCGTTCAAGCGTACAACGTCAGCTAGACTCGATCACACGCGACGAAGAAGCAGATGTGGAGCGGGAGCGGTGGCAACGTATTGAGAAATGGCGGATGGAACAAAGTCGGGCACTTTTGAACGAGATCGAGAAGGCCACTCGAAGACGCCGTGATAGCCGTGCTAGTCGGCCCAGTGAACAAGCTGAACAACCGATTCCGCCTGCCGAGTCTTTCGAGGTGTCTCAGACTCCTGCATCTTCTTCGACAGCAGAACAGGAAACTGACAACGATGAATCTCTATGGAAACGCATCACCCGCAAGGTAATTCAAGATCTGATCGGGATCGATGATTCCTTGCTTTCTGTCCTTTTCGGGGAGTCGTTGCCATGTGCCGAAGACGGAGAGATGCACACATCAGCGCGGTCGAATAGTGATTTCGACTTCAATGAGGCGATAAACCAGGAGCTGGATTCCGCGTCGGACCAAAGCCCGCCATGGAAGAACAAGCTCCTGCAGCGCATTGCGCGCGAATTAGGTATACTTGTCCACCAGCTCTGTGAGCATCCCGGTGCATTCACAACCTATCTCAACCTATCCCACGATATCCCCAATCAATATGCTGGCATTCCCCTTGAACGCCTCCCCGAAGAAGACAATCGGTTATCTGCTTCAGCTGAGCCTGCGACTATGATTGAGTCAACAAACAATGCGGAATCAACCTTGTCGCCTCAGTTCACCCCCACTTTGCAGGTTCCTGATAGCCGAGAGCACGCGGCTCTATGGGGTATTGAAGACGATGACGATTTGGTCCGTGGTAGCAGCGGCTCGGCAGGCGATCCATTGTCTGAATCGGCACGTATTCAACAGGAAAGAGAATATTGGGAGCGGGAGTTAGACGTGTCGGTGGTCTTCCGCTACCTACGTAATCGCTTCAGCCAGAGACCTAATGCTACCGACTCGTTCCATAACACGTCGCACCGTCCTACGCAGGATGCCTCTCGCCGCGCCGCAATTATCCGTCAACATCATCCTCTTGTTGCGCGCGCACACGCTCGCTCCCAAGCACAGATCCGACGCCAGTCCCAATACTCTTCCCATCATTCAGGACCGACCGGGGTCTCGTCACCCGTCCTCCGCCAACGATTCCGTCGACCTAGCTCCAGCTGTGCAAGTCAAAGCGCAAAGATGTCTGCTATCTCCAGCCGTCGGACAATGACGGGCTCCAGTCGAAACTACTGGGATATTGGAGGGAGCATTGACAGCGGAAGTGCGGTTGCACCCGTTGCCGCTGGGGTTGGAGCTTGGGGAGACGTGTGATTGGGTCCCTGAGTGTGTAGTTTCTGAGTTGCACATCACATAATGCATGCTGGCCATCGAACGTATTACTATTATTGTCTCAGACCGGGAGTCTTGGCTACTATTCTTGGGTTTTCACATATCAGCACAACTTTCTGGACTATTGTTGTCTCAGTCACGAGTACATATCTAGCTGTTTTCTTGTTGGGATCATCTCATCTATTTTTCCAATTTTATCATTGCCATCACCATCAGCGATTTTCTAGAGAAGGGATAGAGGCAACTCACTAAGTCATCAACGGCGAGGTCGGCATGTGCATACTACCTAGGCGTGTGCTATGGTTCGTGGATGGTCGCAACAAGGGCACAATTTAGCGGGCGTCTGGGTTCAGGGGGGATAGAAACCATTCATATGGGTCAATAGTACGAAGACAGAGATCATTCCAACGAGGCTCATTGTCTCACTATCTGATCTCTGATGGAATGCATCTATTGCTATGAGTCTCCGAAATGTTGCGAATAATTGACCTGACAATATGGCTCGCAGATGAATATCGCTTAGGTATCGTTACGGGAACCGCTGCTATCTCTCTCTGAATGAGTGTAGATGTCGGCTAAGAACAGTGATCATCTCGCATGTAATACTTCCGCATTGAATACTACTATGACGCCTTTCAACAATTCGAAGATTGGGACGTTCTGGATTTACAAAAGTTGGATTAATATGTCCGTCCCCGCATCGAACCGTGATTTTTATATATACGGGATTTGAGGTCCTCTTAATCGTGGTCGATTAGAAATGCCAGACAAGACCACCAACTTCATACCCAGTGACTATGCGAAGAGGATATTAATCAGGTATATAAATCGCAGCGCAGATGAACAAAGTCCCAGTTGCGTGCGTGTTGAGTCTGGACCATACTAGTTGGAGGACTTGACATGTACAGATTCATGGATTGGTTTGATCGATTTGCTTGACCCATCAGGTATTGTACATATAGAGTGGCAGATGACGCAGTATCCGTCTATTGAGTAGTGAGCTGGATTGCAGGTCAACCTTGCGGATCGGTTGGGGCTGGAACGAGGGCTGCCTGGTAAGTGTAACACAGGGCTGGAGAGCTGACATGACGTGAGTATCTGCAGGGGGGGTTGTCGCGGTCTACAGAGCGGAGGTATTGTCTACGTCGTGAACCAGAGGTTCCGGTTCAACTCCGAGAGCGTACAGATCCAGACACTAAGCTTAGGGGAAAACGGTTTCTCTTTCTTTTCTTTCATGTGCCAGAAGAAGGGGGGGAGGGGGAATCATAATGGTCTCAAAAGGGTAGTTTCCGATCACATTATAAGAAAAAAAAACAAGAAAGAACACGATGTAAAATGCTAATCAACATTCTTTTTCCCCAATCATCAACACTCGAACCGGCGACCAGACATCTAAGCCTGGGAGAGGTTCTCGTAGGCGTCGGGGAAACGCTTCATGTTCTCCTCGATGAGACCGTGGCCACGGAGGAACTGGACGTAGGCGCCGTCCTGCTTGAGCTTGCCCTCCTGGCGGAGCTGGACGTAGTCCTCGCGGCGGACGGGGGTGAAGCCCCAGTTCTTGGAGACGATGATCTTCTGGCGGCCGGGGAACTTGTACATGGAGCGGCGGAGGGCCTCGATGGCGGTGGCGCGGTTGGAGTCGCGGGTGCGGACGGACAGGATGATCTGGCCGATGTTGACCCGGGCGACGGTACCCTGGGGCTTACCGAAGGCACCACGCATACCGGTCTGGAGACGATCGGCTCCGGCGCAGGACAACATCTTGTTGATACGGATGACGTGGAAGGGGTGGACGCGGACGCGGAGGTGGAAACCTTCCTTACCGGCGATCTTCACGAGGTACCTATTTTCGTGGTGCGTTAGCCTGGGATCCGGTGGACGATGGTGTTCAAGTTGGGGCGAACGACATACTTGTTGGCGCAAATACGGGCGGCTTCGAGGGCCTCGGAGGACAGCTGCTCGTACTCGTTGGAGACGAGGTGAACGCAGAGGGGGAAGTCATCGACGTTGGCCTTCTTACGTCCCAGATCGAAGATACGGATCTTGGGGTCGGGAACACCACGGTTGAACCGGGACTTAGGGTAGGGCTGTATGAGAAGTCGCGGTGTTAGTGATTGTTGTTATACCCTTTTCCTCCCTTGTTTTGATTGATATGCGAATCCATCGCGATATCCTCCTTCTGCCTCGACACGGTTGTCTTGTCCATCCATCCATCCTCGTTCTCCACCCCACACAACTGAGGCATCGGGTCCTCACGCACAAAACACACACACACAAAACCAATATTCCGGACACAATCTCAACGCACCTTGTTCTTGCAGTAGCGGTAACATCTCGCGGGACGGCGGGCCATTTTGACGGTTGGGAAGTTGGCTTCCTTGGGGGTGGGTTGTCGAGAAAGGTGGTGTCGGGAGGTCCAAAGGGAGAAAAGGAAAAAGGTCTTCTCGCGGGCGGGCAGGAGAACTTTCGACGTTGATTTCCAAGCAATCCGTCCGCCCGCTACCGAGTGGCGCAGCCCTAAACCCTAGCCTCTCCGCCAATCACCGCCCGCGCTGGCCCATGACGGCATTTGTCAGTCGGAGACATTCTGACCAGTTGTCGCCTGCGTGGAATACAGGATCAAGGAGATCTTTTGATCTCTAATGAAGGAGGCGTTGAAAATGATGGTGTCATTTTGAGTCAGAACGAGGAGTTTTTGGTGTTTTGTAAATGTTGAGTCACAAGCCTTGTTTCTTGGCATTTGGCTCGTGACTGCATGCAGAGGATGGACGGAGTCCGTGCCGCTTGATACGCCTACGCTCTTACAAACTGGTAGTAAGATTCTGGTCCATTCTTGGCCTTTTCCTACGCGGCATGCTATTGCCTGTGCACATCAAGTTCGGTGGAAAGGATTTTCTTTTCTTGTCATTATCTAAAGCATGTCATAACGAGTGTCGCATCTTCACGACATTCAACACATTCAGACATAACATGAAAGTCATTGGCATGATCCTTGTTGCACCTACTGGCTGGAGAGGATGTCGGAGTCACCAGCGTCGAGGATGGTCATGGTGCTGGTGCGGAAGAGCTTACCGCAAGCAGTACCAAGCTCGATCTATAAGCGAAAAGTCAGTCCACCTGCTCCGAACGGTGACAGTGTCGTCTTATCACATTGCGACCACTGCACGAAGACAATTGTATCGACAAGTACTACTCACGTTGTTACCAGAGAAGTGGTGAACGGGGGTCTTGGCAAGCATGGCGTAGTACTCGAGCTCACTCTTGCGGAGGGGGGGAGTGTTGGCAGCGATGATGACCAGCTTGGCCTTGCCGGAGCGGAGGGTCTTGATGGTGGACTTGTAGCCGAGGGTGACTTTTGAGGTGACAACAGTTAGCGATGGTCACGGATATCAATATCTCAAGGAATCCGAGTTCTTGCAACATACCCTTTCCGGACTTCATAACAAGCGCCAGGCGCGAGTTGATGGTGTCACCGGTCTTCTTGCTCTTGGGGGCCATCGTTACGCTGTCGAAGACTAAACTTCTGCGTGATCAAATTTGAATCAGCAAAGGTTCGCTCGGGATATTTTTTTTCAAGCCAAGCGCTAGAATGAACAACCGCAATCGACCAAAAGCCAGATAAAACTGGCAATGGTCAAGAGCGAGTCGTCACTCAGCCATGGCTTTTGGTGAGAAACCACATACCTAAAGGTTGAATGTGGTTTTGTTGTAAAGAGAGTGCGCTCCGGCCTTGTCTTGGGATGGGGATAGAATCGAAAAAGCCTGTTACCGCTCTTTTTTTGTGGGTTCGACAAATCGCGGATCCCACTTCTTCCGTTCCGGCACCAACCACTAAAGACACGTGACCATCTGGCACCGTCGCTATCGTGTCGGGCCAACGACACGTGATCAGGTTACCCAATGTTGGGCCTGGCCGTGGAATAGCCGACGGAACGTCCAACTAAGCCTGGTGTTATCTCCCAGCTGCCTTCTTTGGTGCCCGGTTCCAGCAATCGTTTAGGCTTGGATTTTGCCCTGGTACCAAACTTCCTTCAAGATCCGTAACCGAAGTAGTTCCGACATGGTTGATATCGATATGTGTTCGGCTTGTGTGTCTTTTCAGTCCCCCGGGGCCTGTGTGAATCTGCCCGCTTGTACGGAGTATATGCACTCCGCGCGTGAGCTATAGCCATGTTGCATATGCCATGAGAGATTGGGACGGGTTCAACTTCTACATATGCAACACAAGACATACTAGAACAATACGATATATATGACAGTTGAAGTAAATGTAAGGTGAAAGCATGCCTCAAGTATTCATTGCATAAAAATATTGGCTAGGACGTAGTGAGCTTGAAGTTTGCTTGTCGAGCTGAGTACTGGCATTGACTTCAATTTTGAGAACGTCACGCAAGTAACTACTGGCACCGAGCTACCTTCCCATGGTATCGTCGACTCAGCCGCCAAGGTATAAGATCGTACTCGTAAGCGCTCCTTGACCCAAGAGGCAGTGGTTATTTATACTGTGGCTGATGTCATTAACCGAACTATTGACGCCGTTGGCGCTATTTGTGAACCGCGGTATCCTGCAGCAAGCAAATATGGGTTCCAGATCGATCTTGAATCTACAGAAGTTAATGCAGAAATGTAAGAACACATGCAGTGTTGCTTGAACAATCGGAGCATACAAGGCAGGGTTCTATCCTCGCAATCGAGCAGCCACTGCGAAACGGGTTGGTTATCTTGAAACCGCAACTGGTCATGGTCCAATTGAAGCCTTTTGGACTGTAACATAGATAATTGGAGGACGCTCATTTCTCCTTAGCGGGAAGTAGGTGGTCATGCCATCACAGAGGGCTGGCAGGCGTCAAAACTCAGGGGTTGAGTTGATCGCACTTGGAAGCAGTTCCGGTCATGGGAGATTGAATATGCGAAATTAGATAGCGGAGAATAGGTTCCCTGGTGCTAACAGTGCTCATTCATGGATGGACCCTCGGATTGTGCGAGGGTGCGGATAGTATACAATGGGTTGCCTAGGCAGTCAGTTGACGGGATATACTACGGAATAGCACCAGGTCCTTTCTTCACGCCCAAGATGGCTTGTTTCTGCCGCCTTGCTGGCTGACATCGCATCATATATCGTATCGTGGGATAGCCTTACAGCAATGCACAGCCGGAAGTGTAACGCAGACGTGGCGCAGTTGTCGGCATTTTTGGATTTCCTCCGCCCCCTGACAAGCGGGGATTCATGATTGGGTGGCAGTCGTGAGACGGCCAGACCCTGGCCGCAGCAAGGAAATCGAGGGGAGGATGAAGGGAGAGAGGGGTGAATCGAGAGTGGCTGCTATCTTTGTCGTTGCCATGTGTCGATTGGGTTCGTGTTGTTGTCGTCCAGGTGAGGAAAGTTGGTTGGTTAGTTGGTTGGTTGGGGAATCCGTGTTGTTAAGGTTGCTGCTATCGTTGATCCGCATTCGGGCACTATGTCCATTAGGAGCGGACATTCTCTCCACCTTATTGTAGCCCAGGCTGCCCAGCGGAGACGGATGAGGTGAAAAAGAAATGAGAGTTTGATTAAGTTATGTCATGGCAAATCCTCCAGGCTTAACAAAGACTTTCTTTGCGTGGGAGGTTGAGCACTGGAAGAAGATTGACTGACTTCATAATGGGATTATTATGCTCATGGGGAAGAATCCCCAGGCCAACATAACCCGAACTTACCATAATTACCGGCCAAACATAGGCAGACAGTGGTCATATACGGTAACAATCGAACAATCGTGCCCATCACCCACCCAGAAAGATAGACCAAGACGGACGGACAGAGACGGCCAGACAGCCGCAGACAGACAGTTAGACAGACAGACAGACAGACAGATTGATTGATTGATTGTATTGCATGCAATTCTCAATTCTCAGATTGATTATTAGTTACTTCCTCTCCCCTCCTCCCACATCATTTTATTTCCCTCAAACACTCTCTCCATGCTGATCGCTCCTAATCCCTAACTTTCTTTCCCCCCTATATCCACCCGGCTTACATCCGCGCAACGGTTTCGTCTTTCTCCATCCTTGCGTGGTTTGTTCTTGTACTTCAACGCACCGCACCGTCTTTCTTTCTCCCTCGACGGTGGCTACTTACTTTACTTACTTAGTTTAGTTCCCCCCCCCCCTCTCCGTTGCCCGCCCGCCATTCGAACCCGACCCTTTCCCCCACCGAGATAGTTACCTAGTGCGCCCACTGTTTTGACCGCTACTACAACTGTGACTCGGCCTTTCCATTCCTTAAATTAATTTCCCGGCTGTTTCACAGCACTACTCTTTTCCCTCCAAATCTCCAGAGGCACTTTTTTCTTCCTACCTTCCCCCTTATCTGAATTGCCTCGCATTTTTGGCCTCCCAACCCGTCGCTTTCGGTCAATTTGTCATTGTCCGATTGAATAGGTCAACATGTCCGCGACGCCTCGCAAGCCCAGTATTCCGGGCAGTGCCAGTGCCACCAAATCTTCGACCACTGAAAACCAGGCAGTCAATGGAACACCTTCTAGAACCCATTCTCGCTCTCCTAGCACTACAACAAATGGCGTCACTCGTTCTCCTTCCCTGCGCTCGTCTACGCCCGTCTCTGCGCGCGCTGCAGCCCGGAAGCCAGGCCGCTCCAACCTCAGCACGTCAAGTGCCCCAAAGATCTCACCAAGTCCCTCCGACGAGGAGGCACGAGCTCAGAATGCGGCACTTATTGACGACCTGAAGGAACAGTTGCAGAAGGCCGAAACGGCCTCGGAACAATATCAGAAGCAATTAGGTGTCCTCCAAATGCGACTCGACGAGGCAATTAGCGAGCAAGGCAAATTAGAAGACCAGGCGCACGAGAAGGACAGCAAGCTCGATGCGCTCAACGGCGAAATCCGGGACCATGTGCGCCAAATTCGCGATATGGAGCAGGCCCATGAACAAGAGCGGAATGCCATGCTGCAGGAGAAGGAGCAACAAGCAAGCCGGGAAGAGGAGATGCAGGCGACTATTCAGCGCCTGAAGGAGTCGTTGGCTCAGAAAGAGCGGATCAACTCCGATGCAGACAAGAACATGTCTCGCTCATGTAAGAGATATTCCTGATCTTTTCTCTCCCCATTTGACATTTCCTGACCTTTTCATAGCGAGTTTCCGTAATCGGTCGTCTCCCGATCTCGACGGACAGTTTGCGCCCTCTTCTCAAATCGAGCGGAGCCCCTCGCGAAACAACTCGAACTTGCTGCTGCAGAAGGATAAGCTGATCGAATCCCTTAGACTCGAATTGGCCGAGTCTCAGATTAAGCTTGTGGAGATGGAGAACCAAGGCGGCGGCCGACAGCGGGAACTCGAGAAGGAGCTTCTGGAAGCTCGCATGGCCAACGCTCGCTTGATGGAGGACAATGAGAGTTACCAGTTGCTTCTGAGTGAGCGAACCTTGAATGGCGATTTTACAAAGGGTGATTTCATGCGTGAAGTCCATCCTGACACTGCAGACGAGACCAAGGACGCGGGCAGCGGTTTGGGTTCGCTGGCTGATGAGCTTGAGTCTGTAGATGCAAGAGCTGAAACGGACAACACGCGCAAGCTCGAGGCCGAAGTCAAGGCGCTCAAGGACCAGAACAAGGCCTTGACTCTGTACATCGAGCGGATCATCAGCCGCCTCCTGCAGCATGACGGGTTCGAGACTATACTCGACAAGAATGAGAACGATCCGCCCGCCAAGCGACTTCCTGTTGGGCACAACAAGGATCTGCCTCCCACTCCTCTGGAGAAAGAGGATCCTTCCTCGCAGACCTTCCTCCAGCGGGCTAAATCGGTTGTCGCGGGCGGACCGAATTCCAACGTTCCTCGTCCTCAGACCCAGCCCCGGTCACGCCCCACCAGCTATATGCCACCTCCGACCAGTGTGCCCACCGCCCACGAAAACCCGGAGACCGCCCCTAGCATCCCTCTGCGTGCCCAGTCAATTCGGGGTCACCGCCGAACTAGATCCGAGCAAACTGATGTCAATGTTGCAGCAGTCGTTGGACAGATGTATCGGGGCCGGAACTCGGGTGGCCCTATCAGCCCTACCTTGATGGGTCCTGGGTCACGCCAGAGCGCTTTCTCTAACGCAAGCTACATGTCCAGCATGAGTGCTAGCCGTGCGCCTTCGCTTTCAAGCCAGCCCGAGCATAGTCGCTTGAGCAGCTCAGATAGTATCACTAGCGACCATGCCGCGGAGACCGCTTCCACGGGCGCTACCTCCAGCTCCCCGCGCTCCAGCAACGGTATGACTAACTACACGGGCGCCGTGATGACGCAGAACAAGTTGCGTCCGTTGCGTCTCGTCAGCGAAACCACGAGACTGGCAGAGGAGGAGGAGGCTGCTCGGAAGAAGGCCAACCGCGGAAGCTGGATCCCTTGGTTCAACCGCCCGCCTACCAGCGGCGAAAGCCAATCTCCTATCTGATTGAGCTAATGCCCTGACAATCTCAGGCCCGAGTACCTACCTCATGATTAAGTCGAAAAACTCGATTGCATGAGGAAACATCAGTATTTCTTCATTAATACTTCCGACCTGCTTGCTTGCCTTATTTTCCAGTTTTTCTAGCTGCCTGACCTTTCTGGGATACTTCTCCGGCAGTCACCATCTTACTGTCTCCCGCCCTTACCTCATTTCTTTTGGTGTTGATCATCATCATGGTGTTCGAGTTGGTTATGGGCCCAGCTTGCTCCCAGTTCATGGCAAGTCTGGCGCTTTTCGCAACCCAACCCCGCTTTCTGAAAGAGAAAATGCTTTGTTTTACTTTTCTCTGCTATTGGTTATGTGATCGACGACCCACGCACCCTTTTGAACCGGAATGATGTGATGAATGCCCTGGCTATATGGGAAATTGTCTTTTAGGTCACTCGCTTCTTCAACACTATTGTATACTGGGATGGCCAACGAAATTCACCCTACCGTTATTGAATCATGCCCCTCATTGTTTTGATGAACATACTTACATACAATTGCGCTTATATACATTCCCCATCGCGAGTGGAATGGACGTGCTTTACGAGGCCCCGCTTGTTCTCCCTTTTCTGATGTGCTTGGCACTTGGCGCTTCAATTCTTGTACTATAGAGCAGATAGGAACTCAGTTTTATGACATTCTGTCTTCAGCTGTAGCCCATGTGTGTCCACTTTGCTTACCCTTGCCAACACGATAGACTTATGCCTGCGACAGAACACACGTTCATAATCGAAGCTTTCAAGGTAGGTTAGGTCACTTAACATACCCCGATGTCGGATCGTTGTATTTGAAGCGATATTATGGGCAATCTGGGGCTTCGCATTCTGCGACGGTTGCCAGCAGTTCATGCCAGGACAAACGCCTTAGTGGTAGCTCTCGGTGGGCTGCGGAAACACGCACACAAAGCCGGGGTAACTTATGAAAAAGAGGCTCCAATAACTGCCACTTTGGCTCTGCCACTTACTTTCCAACCAACTACAGCCCGTGGACCTCTGCAGCTCTGACAGTAGACTATCGGTTGACTGACATGCTGATTCTCAATCATAGGTATCTATCCCGTTGGCAAGATCATAACGGACTTTGCCAGCACGGATCTATTCCCTTTTCCAGACCAAAGTTATCGACGGGAAACTACCATACAAACTTGATTTTGAGTTCGGTGCTCAGGAAGGCGTACTCAAGTTCGAAAGCACCAGCCAGGGCCAGACGATCGGTGAAATAAGTGTTCGATCCCAGACCTTGAAATCCTACTGAGTTCCAGGTGGGTTTCTCTCTTCCTAAGTGATACGGGCCTTTCCTCGCTAGCTGTCCCGTAAGCCTCTTCAGCTTTATGATGGTGCCTCTTGGAGGATGGCGAAGACATAAATTGAGGTGAAAGGTACCGAGCTGCTCATTATCAGGAGTGCCTTAGCCTCTTAACTATATTTCAAATCGAGATCCTGCTTGAGCTGAAGTGACTGTTGGTACAGGTTGTCGGTGCTTCATTGTATAGTGTAGGCCGGAGAAACATTGACGCGGCGGCCGGATTGCGGCCAGCTTGTAAATAGTACGGAGGTGTAAGTCCTATCGGAGCAGTCACCACTCACCCCAATCCTCGAAACCAGTCGTTCTCTGGTCCATTCGCCCACCATGCCCGGCTCTCTGTCCTTATTCTCCGTCAATGCCGTCCTTCTCATGTCGGCCGACGACGGGTCCCGCATCTTCGCCAAGTACTACTCCCCTCCTCACCCCCCGGCCGGCACTGCCCCCAACTCGGCCGATTATCCCGGAGCGAACCCCTATCCCACCTTGAAGGAGCAGAAGGCCTTCGAGCAGGGCCTCCTCGAGAAGACGAACAAGCAGACCAGCGATGTGATCCTCTACGATAACCGGATCGTGGTGTTCAAGATGGAGAGCGACGTGATGCTCTACGTGGTTGGCAGCGCCGATGAGAACGAAGTCCTGCTCTACAACGTTGTCCTGTCTCTGCGGGATGCTCTCGGGATCTTATTCAAGTACGTTTCCCCCTTCAAACATCATCCCCCCATGGGATAATGAGCGGTGACTAACATGGCCCTTTTCTCGGTCTGCAGGGGTGCCACCGACAAGCGCACAATCGTCGAGAACTACGACCTGGTCGCCCTGGCCATCGACGAGATCATCGACGACGGTATCATCCTCGAAACGGACCCCGTGCTGATCGCCTCGCGCGTGAGCCGCGCCCCCGCCCCCGATGCGCCCAACTTGAAGAGCATCGATTTGTCGGAACAGGGTCTGCTCAATGCGTGGGAGCTGGGCAAGCGCCGTCTGGCGGAGGGTCTGCGGCAGATGTAAAACTGGGGGCAACGAGAGTGTTGCACTGGTGTTTTGATACTCATGCATGAGGACGTGGTTCTGTCGGCTTCTTTTCTAATGTGTCTTGTTTATGTTCTCTGGCTGGTCCTGGCGTTGTATTGATCCGCATGATATAACTTTTTTTTAACAATGTTCTTCTCGAAAGAGATATCGTTGTTTGTGATGAAACCTCTGTTTTGGGGGGATTTGACTTATTATAGATACTCCTATAAATGTTCTTTTCGCGTGAGTGATATCTGTGAGCGCTTTATTGCGGTAATGGGAGTTGAGTGTGGACGAATTTCTGGCCAAAGTTACTGAAATAGAATAAAATGCTTAATGTGCAAAAGGTGCCATTGCCCTGATTAGAATATAGCACCGAGTGAAGCAGATGAGTACGCGCACGTGCGGAGTTCATTGAGAAGATAACGTTCGAATACAATGGAAAAGCGATACAAACCATACCTAGGTAGGCGAGATCCAGCCCCGCATACGTCACGCCCGCTCTCTCCGCCGTCCGAGAGGGACAATTTTCAGCAAGCACTCTTTGGACTTATCGAATCACTTTCTTTCCCTCCTCCCTCAGCCTGAGCGCACCACTAATTAACAGATTCTGGGGGGACCAATCAATACACTAATACCCCAAGATGAAGCAAAGATTCTCTTCGTTGGATGTCAAGGTCTGTTGTGTTCTGTCCTCACCTTTTTGAGTTTGCACCCTCTCTTTCCCCCGGACCAACTCCCACCCACGTATCTGACCGATGTACTGTACTTGTGTAGGTCATCACCCAGGAACTCGCCTCGGAACTCGTCAACCTACGAGTGTCGAACATCTACGATCTTTCCTCGGTAAGCTTTTCCCCCTGCAACCCAACTCTAGGATCCCAGTTTCAATCCATCTAATATCTTTGCGAGCGAAAAAGAGAATCTTCCTCTTCAAACTCGCCAAACCCGACCACCGCAAACAGCTCGTCGTCGACTCGGGCTTCCGCTGCCATGTGACGCAGTACTCGCGCGCGACGGCCTCGGCGCCGTCGCCGTTCGTCACGCGCCTGCGCAAGTTCCTGAAGTCGCGGCGCGTGACGGCCGTCCAGCAGCTCGGCACGGACCGCGTCATCGACTTTGCCTTCAGCGACGGCCAGTACCACCTGTTCCTCGAGTTCTTTGCGGGCGGCAACATCATCCTCACCGACCGGGAGTACACCATCCTCGCGCTGTTCCGGCAGGTCGCGGCGGGCGACGGGCAGGAGGAGGAGACGCGCGTCGGGATGCGGTACGCGGTCGACAACAAGCAGAATTACCACGGGGTGCCGGCCATCACGCCGCAGCGGGTGCGGGAGACGGTGGAGAAGGCGAGGGAGCTGTTTGCGGCGGAAGGGGGCAGTAATGCCGCGCCGAAGAAGTCCCGCAAGAAGAATACGGATGTGCTGCGCAAGGCGCTGTCGCAGGGGTTCCCCGAGTATCCGCCGCTGTTGCTGGATCATGCTTTTGCGGTGAGGGGGTTGGATCCGGCGACGCCGTTGGAGGAGGTTTTGAGCGACGGTGGGGATGGGGATTTGTTGGGACGGGTGGTCGAGGTGTTGGAGGTGGCGAAGGGGGAGACGGATAGGTTGTCGGTTGGGCAGGGGCATCCTGGGTATATTGTTGCGAAGGAGGATACGAGGCCCAAGGCGAAGGGGGCTGCGGATGAGAAGGAGGGGGAGGATGGCGGGGACGCCTCGAGCAAGAAGCCGCCGGCGCTCCTGTATGAGGATTTTCATCCGTTCAAGCCGCGCCAGTTTGAGGGCAAGCCCGGCGTCACGATCTTGGAGTTTGAGAACTTCAACAAGACCGTCGATGAGTATTTCTCTTCCATCGAGTCGCAGAAGCTGGAGTCGCGGCTCACGGAGCGCGAGGAGGCCGCGAAGAGGAAGTTGGATGCTGTGCGGCAGGAGCATGCGAAGAGGATCGGTGCCCTGCAGGAGGTCCAGGGGTTGCATATCCGGAAGGCGGCCGCTATCGAGGACAATGTCTACCGGGTGCAGGAGGCCATGGATGCGGTCAATGGTCTGATTGCGCAAGGAATGGACTGGGTGGAGATCGCGCGCCTGATCGAGATGGAACAGAGCCGAGGTAATCCCGTCGCGAGGATTATCAAGTTGCCTCTCAAGCTTCATGAGAACACAATCACGTTGGTTCTGGGAGAGGCTGGCGATGAGGAGCAAGGTGACGGCGAGGAGCTCTTCTCGGATGACGAAGACGAGTCCGAGTCGGAGGATGAGAAGGAGGAAGATGAGAATTTTGAGAAGAGGGCCGATGTGTTGGTGGTTGACATCGATCTTGGGCTCTCCCCATGGGCGAATGCGACCCAGTACTACGAGCAGAAGAAACAGGCCGCTGTGAAGGAACAGCGGACGACGCAGTCCTCTGCCAAGGCGCTCAAGAGCCACGAGAAGAAAGTCACGCAGGATCTCAAACGGAACCTGAAGCAAGAGAAGCAGGTTCTTCGCCCGGCTAGAAAGCTTTTCTGGTTCGAGAAGTTCCTCTTCTTCGTCTCTTCCGAGGGATACCTGGTTCTCGGGTAAGTATTTTTTCCCCAGACATCTTGAATTATCTATTCTGACTAGGACTAGTGGCCGTGATGCTATGCAGAGCGAGATGCTATACCGGCGGTACCTCAAGAAAGGCGATGTCTTCGTGCATGCAGATCTTCAAGGTGCTACGCCGATGATCGTCAAGAACAGAGCGGGCACGCCCAACGCGCCCATCCCCCCGAGCACACTCTCTCAAGCTGGAAATTTATGTGTTGCTACATCGAGTGCTTGGGATTCCAAGGCAATCATGTCCGCTTACTGGGTCAATGCCAGCCAAGTCTCCAAAACCGCTGAGGTGGGTGGTCTGGTCCCTACTGGCGAGTTCGTCATCAAGGGCGAGAAGAATTTCCTGGCCCCCTCCCAGCTTGTCCTAGGATTCGCGGTCATGTTCCAGGTTAGCAAAGAGAGTCTACGGAACCACAAGCTACGCCAGTTCGACGAGCCTGCGGCTGCGGAGCCGATCGCTGAGGAAGGCGGTGCTCCCGCCGCAGCAGCGGAAGGCAAAGAGCCCGTTGAAGAGAAATCCGAGACGGCGGAAGCTGATCAACCTGAGGGCCCCGATGAACCAGAGGAGCAGGAGCAGGAGCAGGAGCAGGTCTCAGAGTCGGATGAAGAAGCCGAGGAAGATAAGGCTATTACGGAGAGAAACCCGCTCCAACGGGGACTGTCTGAGCCAGCTCAAGCGGAAGCCGGCAACTCTAACGATGCTCATGACAGTCCGTCGGATGACGAAAATGCCGAGGAGGGAGAGCGGGAGGAGCAGTCCTTTCAAAAGGAGACGACAGCTGCGGATGAGACTCTGCCGGAAGAAAGCCTATCATCCACTCAAGATCAGGACAAGCGACAGCTTTCCGCTCGAGAGCGTCGTCTTCTCAGAAAAGGACAGCCACTCGACTCCCAGGAAACCACGCCCAAGGAAGCCGCAGAGGGCGCAAAGAAGCCGGGGTCGAACGGCGCACCGGCCAAACCTACAAACACCAAGCAAGCGGGCTCTACACGGGGCAAGAAGGGCAAGGCAAAGAAGGCTGCGGCTAAGTATGCAGACCAGGACGAAGACGAGCGGGAGCTGGCACTCCGCTTGCTGGGCGTGAATAGCGAGAAGGCCGCCAAGGCCGCCGCAGAGGCGGAAGCCAAAGCCAAGCGTGAGCAGGAAGCTGAGGCTCAGAAGAAGCGTCGCAGAGCCCAGCATGAGCGAGCAGCGGAGGCCGAGCGCAAACGACAGGCTCTCTTCGAAGGGGGTGCTGATGACTACGACGAGGAGACGGCCGCCGCGGAAGCTGCGGATCTCGAATGGATTCCTGCCATGATCGGAACGCCTCATCCTGACGATGACATCCTCGCGGCCATCCCGGTGTGCGCTCCCTGGGCTGCCCTGAGTCGGTACAAATACAAGATCAAGTTGCAGCCCGGTACCGTGAAGAAGGGAAAGGCTGTCAAGGAGATCATTGGACGATGGGTCGCCGAAACGACGACTGGCAAGGTCAAGAAGGAGCATGCCGAGGACGCTGGCATTAATCGGGCAGCAGCCGAGAAGCTCCGCGAGCGTGAAGGCGAGTTGATCAAGGGGTGGAAGGATACTGAGATCATTAACTCAGTCCCTGTGGGCAAGGTACGCATCATGACTGGTGCAGGGGCCAGCGGAGGTGATAAGGGCAAAGGGAAAGGTGGTGGTGGTGGCGGCGGCGGCGGAAACAAAGGAGGTAAAGGAGGAAAGAAGAAATAGGTTTTGAGCGATTAATCCTCACCATTCGATTCCCTTCAGAGATGAACAAATGCTCGGATGACATGATCTCCATGCGCACAGATACGGAACTAGGACCGTGCACTCCATAGTGACTAGAAACCGAACTCTGCTATAGAACAATCCCTGGACATTTCCTTGTTGCTATGACTGTCTCCTTTCTTTTGACATGCTCAGAGAGCAGTTCGATCACTCAATGCCTTCGTCTATCAGGTTCGGTGATATCAATTTCTTATGTTGCATAGATGATTCGTGTGGGTTACAGTTGATATTGATGTGCCGCCCAGTCCATGGCTCATCTTGTTGTAACACCAATGACGTGCCCATACGGAGAAACAAGCATTGGCGGGTTTGGACCCATCTTGTGGCAAATTAAAATATGATAATATAAGGCTGGACTAGGAGTAAGATGATATCAGAATAATCGAATGTCAGACTAGAATGACTGCAAGTTGGCTGATTAGAAGAGGGAGAAACCGGACCAGGCCTGGATGCCTGCGCTTAGTCACCAGGCAGCCGACGTCATCGCGAATTTTTTTGGCGCGAAAGTCTCTCTCGAGTCATCGAGAAATGACATTAGACTGCGCTGTTACCTAGCAGCCAGACAGTCCCTCGGGCCGAATCAGTCCAGTGGGGAAAGGAGCCAGGAGAAATTGGATCCAATCTGACATATGTGAAAGAGTGAACGAATAATCTTACACCCTTGTGACTCTCTATCCCCCCACTTGGAGAATTTTTGTCGACCATATTGACCCAACCCCGCGACTAGCCTATTCTTTCCTTTCTCCCTTATGGTCTCGGATATCAATTGATATCCCCCTTGTCGGTTCAAAGTGGTGTTGTTCCTCTTTCGTCTTCTCGCTGGCGGAATCCCGCGCAGCTTTGTCCGGTTCGCTTCTTCTTCCTCTTCCACCACCACAGCCACTATGTCTCCCAAGCTAGACACGCGGATCGTGTCGGTTCGCCGACTCAACAAGGAAGGTCCTGGTGAGCGGTCACTCGCGCAATGGTGGGCCGATGAATGCAACAACAACACCCCCGAAGCGGCTGCGATCGAAGAAGCCGCACAGCTTCTGCAGACGAGCGACATCCCCGTCGCATTCCCCACGGAGACAGTGTATGGATTAGGGGCCGATGCCACTCGCAGTGACGCCGTGCAGGGGATCTACAAGGCCAAGCAGAGGCCATCCGACAACCCGTTAATTATCCACGTGGATTCCCTTGGAATGCTGGAGCGCATCCTCAACCCCGTCCACCACAGTCCCACGCGGGTCACGAGCACCGCTCAGAACAAGCTCCCCGCCATCTACGACTCGGTCATCTCCCGCTTCTGGCCCGGTCCTCTCACGATCCTCGTTCCGAACCCCTCCGGATCCCCCCTTGCGAACGAAGTCACCTCGAACCTCACTACCTTCGGCGTCCGGATGCCATCGTCGCCGCTGGCCCGTTTGTTGATCCATGTCGCAGACCGACCACTCGCAGCCCCCTCGGCCAACGCCTCCACGAAACCGTCCCCGACAGCCGCAGAGCACGTACACCATGATTTGCAAGGCCGCATCGAGCTCATCCTCGACGGGGGCCCTTGTGGAGTCGGAGTCGAAAGCACAGTCATCGACGGACTCTCGGATCCCCCGGCGATCCTCCGTCCCGGGGGCATCGGCATCGAGGAGTTGCGACAATGCCCGGGATGGGAGAATGTGCAGGTCGGATACCACGACGGCACGCTCGATGTGAAGGAGGTGCCCCGTGCGCCGGGCATGAAGTACCGACACTACTCCCCCAAGGCCCGGGTGGTCCTTTTCGAGCCCGAATCCACCGACGGGGGCATTCGAAACCACATCCGCAAGGACCTGGAGGACTCGGCGGTCGGCGCGCATAGCATCGGGGTGGTGCGTACGCGCAACTGGAAGCAGGGGCTGGGACTCGTCTCGGAGGAGGAGATTCAGAGCGGCGTGAAACCCGTCGAAAGCTTGATGGAGGATCTGGTCTCGTTCCCTGTCCCCGTTGAGGACAAGATCAAGGCTTGTGTGGTGACGAAACAGACCTTCGACTGCCATCTCGGCCCGGACATCAAGTCGATCGCCCAGGGGCTGTTCTCGGCGCTGCGGGCAATGGATGAAGTAGAGGTGGATGTCATCTACGTCGAGGGGGTGCCTGATCGGCAAGGTGACCTGGCCGCGGCGGTGATGAACCGGCTGCGGAAAGCCGCAGGAGCCGAGCTTCGGGTCTGATTTATGACGAGTGGACTTATTTTTTTCTTCTTTTCTTACCTTTAGCTTTGTTTTTAATCTTGGCATCTATTTCTGGGCGGTCATTTTTGGAGATCGTTAGACGGGCATAAATTCTAGATACGATGCGTTATGAACAATTTCGGGGGGTTTTTTTTCAAAACTATTTCTTAGCTAAGCTGAGGGTGCATGTGGGTTGCAGGGCTAGAGTTGATGGTCTCTCAGCTTTTACTTATGCTGTGTCTTGAATAAAGAGTTTCGTAAGCCTTGAAAGGTTTGATCTGATAACTTTAAATATGCAGATCAGTACGCAATTTTCAGGGATTTGGGGCTTGGGGTGGGTCGGGTGGATTGAGAGAGCATGAAATCCGGGGAATCATACGCGTACTGTACACGCACGAAGTCGATGTCCTAGAACATTCGTAGCAACAGCATTTGACAAGAGACCTAACTGACTGTTATTTCTCTCTTCGTTAGCATACCCCGTCAGACTCCCTGATGTTGCTGATGATCACGAGTCCACAGGAGCGGTTGGGCGTCTGTGAATGCAAGCTGAGGCACGATTGGGGGTGAGAATCGCCCAGGACGGGGACCCACGACAATCGAAAACTAAGTTACCATTACTACATTGTAGTCATCCTAGGGTTCCATTTCCCAAGAAAAATAGATTACTTACCCGGTCATCGATGGCGGCTGGTTTCTCAAGCCTCACGAACCATCTTGAACCCGCGCATTAGCACGGGATGGAGCCATCAGGAGAGTCAGTCTTTGGATAAGAATGATGGAGAACAACATTAATTGTGCCCCTCGGATAATTCGAGCACAAAGTTATATCCATGGCGCAAATCCGAGGCCATAGCTACCAAAGTGTCCTCATTTTCGATAGAACATATACCCATCGCTTCGCCAAGCCAATGGACCTAGACAATGCTGGACTTGACTGCTGCAGGCAGAGATTAATATTACTCTGCCGCTATAACAGCCAAGTAGTCTGTTTTGCCTTTGTATAATTTCGCCGGCTACTGCCAAAGCTATACCGACAAGCCTCAAAACACTATCCACTTACACAGCCACAGGAGGATTTAATTAAGGGTTAAGCTCGCGAATCCTTTCAACACTGGATTTCATAGAGATGATCTGGTCTAATGTGGGGTACTCATGATATTGACATGAAATGGTGCTATTAATAGGATGCAGTTAGCTCTTCAAGGCTTAGTGCTTACTTTTTCTCCACCTGCTGAGCGATGCGGTCTTCTGCAAGGTACGGAGTAGACTACGGTCTGTCGCTCTGATACAGCAATGGTCCGATACCTTGGTCATAGCCAAATAGATGTGTGGAGTGCCTGAGACACAGGGCCTAAGCTCATTGTGACTGATGGATGCCCATGGTGTATGAAGCTGAAACAAAGCTAGACTGCAAGTACAGCAGCTTGAGTCGAGGTCCTTTGCTTGACCTGATTTCTAACCAATTACCACTCAGGCTGAGGATATGGAGAGGGACTATTTATCCGGCAGCCTAGGAGGATCTCACTTCAGATTTGTGGAGGGAGGGATTTGGGGCTTGTTGTTTAACGCTTGATCTCTGGATGAAGCCAGGGCATAGATTCTATCTCAAGGCACCGTTGTCGCCCTTCGTTGCAATTGGTCTACTCTGCCAGCGGGAGCTCGAGATTATAGGCAACTCTATATCTCTGCAGTAGTGGATGCTAGAAATAGAATCAGAGCGGACTGATTGTGTATCACCGCAGCAAGAATAACATCAACAATGGATTAGTTAACGCAGTCACCTAATCCAGTGGTAGAATGAGACGAGCCCTGAATGCTTCAACCTATATCAGCAAGTATTGATCGTCTTTCAACCTCTTTTCAATCCTCAATCCCATGTCACCTTCCGCTTCATTGTGTTTATTGTGATTTCTTTCTCCGGGTTGCTATAAACCACCTCAATCAAATATGCGTCTGCAACTCTCATTACTTCTTCTGCTACTCCATTCGGCAAAGCGAGTGGTTGCTGTGGCTGCACCGACTCCGGCCCCTACCCTAACTCCTTCTACAACGACCAATGCTGGTCTCCAGCAAAGAGCCACTGCCACCAATGATTATGACCCCCATATCACAATTGACGTTCCCACCATCTCCATCAAGCCCTTCAGCCTCAGTCTGTCGCTGGATCTGCCTTCCAACACTTGCACCCCGACTGTCTCCCCGGATGCCAACGGCTATGTTCCTCCTGACCAGTGCAATGCCCTGTACCAGTACTACCCGTCCTTTGGTGCCGCACTCGCTTTCTCCGTTCTCTTCGGCATCTTGATGGTCACCCACTTTGTTCAAGCCACTATTCACAAGGCAGGGTTCGTTTGGGTCATCTTGATGAGCGCGACCTGGGAGTGTGTAGGGTTCATCACCCGCACGCTGAGTACGCGCAGTCAGCAGGACACGACTCTTGCCACTATCACCCAGCTGTTCATTCTTCTATCTCCGTTATGTGCGTACATCTCTCTCACACACACACACACACACACAATCTCTTTTCTAGATCCAGATGAGCCTACTAATCATTCTCTTAGGGGTGAATGCATTCGATTACATGGTTCTGGCACGGATGATCTATTTCTTCGTGCCGGACCGTCGAATCGGCATCTTCAAACCCTCCCTGCTAGCGATCATATTCGTCCTCCTGGACCTAGGCTCCTTCGTCATCCAGTTAATCGGCGGCAGCATGGCGGGACCCGGGGCGGACAATGCGACGATGATGAAGGGGATTCACATCTACATGGGCGGGATCGGGATCCAACAGTTCTTCATTATCCTTTTCCTCTTCATCGCCGTCCAGTTCCACCGCCAGATGCGCCACCTGGCATGCCAGGGTCGACTGGTCGGCCCCAAGGCCCACTGGCGCGGCTTGCTGTATGCCCTGTACACGAGTCTGCTGTTCATCACTGTGCGCATCATCTACCGACTAGTGGAATTCTCCTCGGGCAACGACGCCTCCAATCCCGTCCCGCGCCATGAGTGGTACATGTACGTGTTTGACGCCGTGCCCATGGGGTGTGCCATCGTCGTATGGAACATCGTCCACCCCAGGGCGATCATTAAGGGACCCGACGCGAAGATGCCCCCGAGTCCGCTGCGCAAGGTCTTCTGTTGTGCTTGCTGCAGGAAGCGAAAGGATAAGCATGGCATGCGGACGATACCGGAGGATGACGGTGCCTTTCAAGAGGATATGTTGCCGTTGCGTGAGCGGGCTGCTGTTTCTTACAGAGGTTGATGGCTCATGCCTGAGGATTGGTGGTCGGGTATGACTCTGTTTTAATCGTAGATATATTCCTACGCTAGACTTGTTGTATGTATATCGAGATCAATGTATATATCTGATATTTGACTCCTTCTCTCCTGTGATAACGATATGGTCAAATCAACCAATGAGGTTTCATTCATGCATTATGAATCAGAGGAGGCGCGGGTACATGCGTGTTCAAATGTAATTCTAGATCCTGCAGAATTCAAGGGTCTACAGATCCGGGTATCTTCCCAATACCGAGAAAATTCGGTCCCTACCCCGAGTTTCCAGTTATAAATGCCCTTTCATCCCCGTCATTCCTTGAAAGTCCTTCCTTGGAGTAGCTACGGCGTATAATTTATGGCTAATGTATTATATAACGCATCTACAGGACCATAGTTGTATCTTCTCCTCCCCCGCTACGGACCTCTCAAGGTCGACCGCAACACGTCGTTACTTCAAATCTCCTAACACAATTTTGCAGTTAACAAGAACAGATATTCCTTAAAATGGTGGTATGAATACTGAACTCCTCTGCCCCACGACTTAGGCTTGTGTTATAGTGGCCAGGGGTTGCCATGCTACCCAAGGAGCAAACTCTCCGTCCTCCGGGCCATCGGCCGATTCCGGCTCGGGATGTGACCGAAGTGCGGGCGTGCCTGGAATTCTCACCCGCACCAAACAAGCTTATCATGGATCGTGCCTCCAGAAGGGCTGCAGAATTCCGCCCTGGTGGATCGCTGCCGACCAACTGCAATCCACACTGTTGACTTTATTCCGACTGTGAGACCCAATTGAATCCACCCGTGTCGGACGAGCAGCCATCTTGGGAGACCATCTCCTTTGGATTTCCGTAAAAATGGAGCCTGGTGCATACCTTATATTCAGATGCTCCCGCAAAGTCTTTTCCTTTCTTTCGTGATTTTCTTTGCTGTTTTTCTTGCTAGTTACTTTTTTCCAAATCAAGCATTGCTTCTTCTCTAAGATACCCTTTTCTTTTCTTTAATTATAAAACAATTCAATATGTGTCAATCTTCCTGGCATGACTTCCTCCTTGGCCTTCCCAAGTGCGAGCACCACGTGCACTTGGAAGGCTGCCTCACCCCCGAGCTGATCTTCCAACTGGCCGAGAAGAACCAAGTCCAGCTTCCCGACCCCAAGTCGGAACCCGCCTACGAGTCTATCGAGACTTTGACTAGCCGATATGGCCACTTCAGCTCCTTGGACGACTTCCTCCACTTCTACTTCATCGGCATGTCCGTGCTCATCCAGGAATCCGATTTCGCCGATCTGGCCTGGGCCTACTTCAAGAAGGCTCACGCCGACGGCGTGCACCATGCCGAGGTCTTCTTCGACCCTCAGGTTCACCAGGACCGTGACATTCCCTACGAGACCATCGTGGCTGGCTTCGTGGCCGGCTGCAAGCGCGCCGAGCAGGAGCTCGGCCTCTCCACCCGCCTCATCCTGTGCTTCGTTCGCCACCTCCCCGTTGAGTCTGCCAAGAAGACCTACCAGAACATTCTCGACAACAACCACTTCGACACCGAGGTGATCCACGGCCTCGGCTACTCTTCCTCCGAGGTCGGCCCTCCCAAGGATATGTTCCGCGAGATCTACCTGTCCGCATCGGCCAAGGGCGTTCGTCTTACCGCTCATGCGGGTGAGGAGGGTGATCCTACCTACATCACCGCGGCCCTGGAGATGGGCGCGACGCGCATTGACCATGGCATCCGGCTCGTCGAGGACCCGGCCCTCATGGAGCGTGTGGCTCGCGAGAACATCCTGTTGACCGTCTGCCCTCTGTCGAACGTTCAGCTCAAGTGCGTGAAGACGGTGGCGGAGGTGCCCATCCGCAAGTTCCTGGACGCTGGCGTCAAGTTCTCGCTCAACAGCGATGACCCGGCTTACTTCGGTGGTTATATCCTGGACAACTACTGCGCTGTCCACGAGGCGTTCAACCTTTCCGTGAATGAGTGGAAGACGATTGCCGTCAACAGTGTCACCGAGAGCTGGATCGGCGAGGACCGCAAGCAGGAACTGCTGCAGCGGATCGATGCCCACGTCGAGAAGTTCGCTGCTCTGGCTTAGAGTATATTTATCTGTAGACTAGAGTTCATATAGATTCGGTATATATAATGAGATGATGATGATGCGCATGAACCATTGCATTCTCGTAAGGCTTAACTTCAATTCCCACTGGTAGACGGGAGCGAAAATGCAGATACTCACGTGAAGTTGATGACCGACTTCATTTCCGCGTGTGAGCCTTGCGACGTAGGCTCGTTTTCTATCGCCGGATTTATCAGTCAGGGCGAGATTAGTAACGAATACTGCAGGGATCGCCAAGCTTTTAGGACCGTGAGGACGTCACTGTATCAGCTGCGCTTCGGGCAGATGAAGTCAACCGTGTAGCAGACCCCTGGTGAAGCCGCAGCAACCCCTCATGCCAATGTTGGGCCGTCCAGCTTCCCGCGCGATTGTATCGCAGCCTCTTCTACGCCACTTCATCCGGCCTTGCTCATCCTCGAGCTTTCCCCTCTCAAGACCAACCTTTTCCTCTACCGCATCTAAAGCTGCTGCTACCACCATCTACCGGTACCCCGCTTCTATCGAGACCTTCCAGCGTCTACACAAACTCCCAACCTTCCAGTCCCATCGTGTCCGAAATATGGCTACCGAGCATATTCCCGACCGCTACAAACTCGTTTTCTTCGTGCCGCACTCCCACCTTGACGTTTGCAAGGATGCGGTGTTCGCTACTGGTGCCGGAACATTTCCTGGCGGCAAGTATTCCAAATGCTGCTTCCAGACACGGGGAACCGGACAATTCCTGCCAGGAGAGGGTGCCAATCCCGCAATTGGCTCGGTCGGCGACGTGGAGTATGTCGAGGAGATGAAGGTGGAGGTCATGTGCTTGGGACGGTCGATTATGCTGCAGGCTGTGGAGGCTTTGGTGAAGGCTCATCCGTATGAAGAGGTTGCGTATGAGGTTTACAAGATGGAGAATGTGTAATCTGATCTGGAATCCAAGGACGGATGTGCGGCGTTATGAGGATGTTTCGGGGGGGGGTTCGCGTTTTCGGAAATTTGCGGTAATGGCTGTCATTAGTTTCAAAATAATCCATCGCAAGTATTCAACCGAGAATTGAACCTCTCCGTAGAGGTGGAAAGCCTGTCGAGGCGATGGTGAAATTGAAAGCATGATGCTGCTGAGTTATTCTCTTTTATTGGCACAAGGCGGGGAGTAATCTGTCGGCGGTGATTGGTCAGCTGGAGCTTCCGCAAAACGCCTCTTCGACTCCAAGTCGAGCGCTCACCTTCAATCCATCAGATCGAATCTCTTCTCCTCGCCCCCAATACCCCCTCAATTCTCCCCGTCGCTACCGGCAATGGCTTCCAAACTCTTCCCCGCCGTCCCGCGGACTGGCCGCCAGCTTTTCCAGAACTTCCCCAAGACTCAATTCAGACCTTTCTCGGCTGGTCCGCAGCGCTGCAGCGACTCCCTTGCCGTGGTATGTGCAATTGCATCCGCCAGCGTGGTTACCATCCGGATTTCGCGGTTGCATCGGATATATCTTCGTTCACAATCGCTAAACAGAAGACGCCGTCTTTGTGGTTGCGATAATTGAGGCTAACGGTTTGGGTTCACTAGCACCGCAACAAGCCCGACAACAACCCGTCCGTCCCTTTCAAGTTCAACGACCAGAACCTCAAGCTCATCGATGAGATCCTCAAGCGCTATCCTCCTCAGTACAAGAAGGGTGCTGTTATGCCCATTCTCGACCTGGGCCAGCGCCAGCACGGCTACACCAGCATCAGCGTCATGAACGAGGTCGCCCGCCTCCTCGAGATGCCCCCCATGCGTGTCTACGAAGTCGCAACTTTCTATACCATGTACAACCGGGAGCCCGTTGGCAAGTACTTTGTCCAGCTGTGCACGACGGTACGTTTTGAAACCCATTCCATTGCTTCAAACCGCGCGCAGTCACTGACACTGCCGCCTACAGACACCCTGCCAGCTCGGTGGCTGCGGTAGCGACAAGATCGTCAAGGCTATCACGGAACACCTCGGCATCACCCCCGGACACACCACCGAAGACGGTCTTTTCACCTTCGTCGAGGTCGAGTGCTTGGGTGCCTGTGTCAACGCCCCCATGGTCCAGATCAACGACGACTACTACGAGGATCTCACCCCCGAATCCATCAAGACTCTCCTCACCGCGCTCAAGGAGTCGGCCACCGCTGCTGAGGCCGGCCAGCCCGTCAAGGTGCCCGCCCCTGGCCCGTTGACCGGCAGACAGACCTGCGAGAACAGCGCCGGCCTGACGAACCTGGTGGAGCCCGTCTGGGACCCGGAGACGATGATGAGAAAGGATGGAGCCTTGGATCAGCCCGCGCAATAAATGAATGTCAGCCTATAATTTGAATACAGTTTTCGATGCCGTGCGTTGGAAGGTTCGATAGTTTTCCCTCATGTTTCCCCCTTTTTCATCGTTCTATATCTCATTTTTCTCTTTATCTCGAAAAATATTCCTGGCCGGTAGATTTCAGACACGGCAACAACTCGGATGATGCTCATGTACAGTACGTTGTGCTTCATATTCGCTTGCTTCCTGTTGCGTAAGGAGGAAAACCGGGTCATGGTGGGAGTCATTTGATCTGCCATAGAAGGTTGTGTTAGCAGTACCCAATGGAGTCCTTTAGTTATTCATTCACCGAAATCGCGTTGCCTCTGGGTTCCTTACCTGCAAAGTGTTCTTAATCCAGATTATACGACTAATCGAAACAACCTTATCATAACATGCTTAGTCGTCAGACACCATCAAAGTTAGGAATCATGTGACCGGCAGCGACAACACGCCTTCGATACTTCTGGGCTTTGTGCTCCATCTCCGTACGATCTCAATTCCTTCCCCAACCGACCCCTGCACCGGAACCTCGGGTGTAGGGGTCGGTTGCGCCTCCCCCAACATGATCTCAAGCGCCTTATAGGCATCTGAGGAAGGTGCCCGTTGAATCCTACCATAAGGTTGTCCACATGTCCTTGAAAAGCCTACTGAGCAAGTACTGGTAAGAACATCCCTGACTCTGCTTTGACTGCTATCGCTGCAATTTGGCTGTCGTTAACTCGTACATAAATGACATTCAAAATGACAAGACAGATCCAGGATCGACACCAAATGCTGATCGCCGAACAACCAACATATCATCAACAAAACCTAAGTCGCTTCGTCTTAAATCAGTGGTTGTCCCCCACGACTAATTGTCTTTTCATCTGCAACTTCCTCGGGCATGACCAGTACAGACTTCTCATCCCTCTCGATAAGAGCCTTGTCGCGACGGTTCTCGAAGATGGTCACATCAATGGTCTTCCTGGCCAGCAGGTGGTAGATGTGAACATGCTTGGTCTGACCGAACCGTCGACTGCGGCCGATGGCTTGGGTCATAGTCGAGTCGTAATCATATTGAGTCTGCCTCAGCAGGGGTGACAGGAAAATGACGTGGTTTGCTTGCTGTAAGTTCCTATAACTCATAGTCAGACACCCACGAAACGTTTGCGAGGGGAATCGGCTCTGACTTACAATCCCGCAGCCAACTCGGTTCCAAGGTTCAGAATCAACACCTTTGCCTGCCCGAATCCGCTCGCCTGTAGCTTGTCGAGCTTCGCGGTAGACCTACCTTCCACTGCCGTGATCATGGTGTGTTTGATCTTGGCGAGATTCAATGCTTTGGCGGCGGCCTGCATTAGATCCGGGAACTGAATGAATAAGAGGACCCGCTCGCCCTGCGGAGTGCCGCGGATGATCTCAATCAGCTTGTCGAGTTTGCTGCCGCCAAATGCGGTCTCTCTGTCGACAGTCTCGCGCTCCAGCGTGGCCATCGGGATGACATTGTAGCCCTTGCCGGAACCGCGGCATCCTTCCACACTGCATTCCTCTTTCTGCACAGCCTGCGAGATGCAGTCTTTGCAAAGCGAATGACCACAGGAACCTAGTAAGCTTAACTGGTCGAGAGAGTCAGGCCGGCTATTGCAACCAGAGCACTTGGAAATCTGCCCGCAGATTTGCATCGACCGTGTCTTCTTGAGAAATCTTACGCCACGCTTGCGCGAAACCCATTCGTCAATCATCCCTTTCATAGCAGTTGTAACTTCACGCAGCTGTGGCTCGATCTCGGCCAATCCTGCAGGTCTCGCTGGGAGTACGATTTTGCTGTTAACGTTCTCTCCCTGGCCGGCGGACTTCTTTGACTGCGGGGCCTTCGAGGATCTTCCTCTTGCTGCACGTTTCTGAGTGCCAGGGTTGATGGTAAGGTTGCCGTTGTCCTGCTTGTCTGCCGACTGCTGTGTATCGACTTTGGTCGGAGGTGCGAAGAATTCTTTCCAATGGCTCGGATTCGATGAGCGGACTGCATCGTCCAAAAGGGAGCAAACGGCTTCTGTCACCGAGTTGTCGCCAAAATTGTGAGCGGTGACGGCGTCGACGAATTTGTCAAACCTTGCGGACTGTGAATCACATTCGCAGTACATCCACGCCGCTAGTCTCAAGTTCTTCACGAGTTCTCCTCGCAGGTCGGCAATCTCCTTTTTCCTGAGTTCAATGAGAGATTCGCAAGTCGTGACTTCTGGTCCCCGGGTCTTCGTCCAATTACCAACAACAGCGAGACAAGCACAGCGCTTGAGTAGTGCTTCGTCGCAGCTCGTGCTAGTACTCAGGATTGCATCTAGCCGACTAGCCTGATCGCCATTGAATCGAGACTTGACCTGACGGCGGAGCTTGCCATCATATGCTTCCAATTGCCTGTACATCTCGGAGTAGAGTGCCTGTTCAGCCGGTGTTGGGCGGATTAGGATGACATGTTCAGTGAAGGGAATCTCGTCAATCTCCGGAACATTTCTGCGAACGAACTGACTCAAAAACCTTTGTGCAACCTCGTGGCGATTCTGATGCCAGGCGTCGCTGTGGGTCGTTCGGTAGGACTGGAACCTCTCTGCATCGGATCGCTGATTAGACAGCAACCTGAGTCGACCGTTCTGCGACTTAAACTCATCATCGTCTATCCCCAGATGGACCCCCATAAATGTTGCAATGGACTTGACATCGGCAAAATCATTCAAAGGCGGAGTTCCCGACAAGATCCATTTCGAGCCAGCTTCGAGTGCCAGGAAGGATTCGAGTCTCTCATCGCTCGCGTACGTGAACTCGTCAATGATAAGGCGACCGAAAGCAAAAGCATGGAGGCAAAGAATCTTGACCTCTGTCCAAACCTGATCGGGCTGGCCATTGATATTGAACTCCTTCAGGTCGTTCCATGTCTTGCAGACTTCCTTCTTAGACCCCGAGCGGCCAGGTTTCCTGCTTTTGTTGCTGGTATTTGACGGTACCTGTCCCTCAGGATCATCCGATGCTGAGCTTGGGCTGGCTGAGTCTTCAGGATCATCATCACCCTCAGGGACTAACATCTTCGAAGGCAGAAATTTTAAACACTGGTGCACCCTAGCCTTCAATGACTCGTCGCCTTCATCTTTCATATGGTCTGCATCTTCTTCAGCGCTAGAGATGTTGCCGTCATGCTCCTCACAATCAACACTATTGCACCGGTTTTGGACCGCATCGACATATGATTTCCCTCTAAAACGCCTAGACGGCAAATACGTGGCCTGTCTCTGGCTTACTTCGGCATCTTGGCGCTTTGAGCGGATTGCATCGAGAAAGGCACCGGGGCCTTTTTCTGTCAGGACACGAACTAGATCTTTTAGCGAAGCCAGTGCATTCGTGAACCAATTTTCAAAATCGCGAGCCTTATTCCCAGGCGCCCGTGACGTTCCAGTGAGATTTTTCAATTTGTTGTAGTAGGCATCGCCGTTGAAGACAGTCCAAGACACCAATATGATATCGCTGAGAAGGATATTTTTGATGGGTACCTTTGAGAGGTTCTGTACTGAGCCAATGACAAGAACCTTATACCTCGACCCCAAGAATTTCTTGATTTCCAACTCCCATTGTCGCAAAACTACTCCAGGAACAACGACAAGGGTGCCTTTCGCGGGGATGAACCCATCCTTCGGACCTAGACTCGACATCCGAAGGTTTTCGTGTTGCATATCGATCAATCCCAGGATGATGGCG